CCCCCCCTTCTCCCACCTCCCCCTCACATTCCCCCACCTTTCGTGCCGTTTTTACCAACCTCCATCTCCCAACTCCTGGTCAATGAACAGTCGTAACCGAGCATGTCATCCTTCTTGCCGACAAGAGACATCCGAGCAATTTCACAGACTATGTATCAGGTTTTTCGGCGCACTATCCCATCGCAAAGTCCCTACTATTTTCCACTCCACCAGTGCATCGGGAAATCCCAACCTGAAGTCCCAACTATGTTCTGGTGCACCATGATGGCACGGCACTGCAAAGTCCCAACCCAAAAGTCCCAACCCAAAAGTCCCAACTATCTTCCAGTGCACCATGATGACAACACCAAGCCCCATCCCATCGCAAAGTCCCGACTATTTTCCACTCCACTAGTGCATTGGGAATTCCCAACCTGAAGTCCCAACTACGTTCTGGTGCACCATGATGGCACTGCAAAGTCCCAACCCGAAAGTCCCAACCCAAAAGTCCCAACTATCTTCCAGTGCACCATGATGACAACACCAAGCCCCAACCTGAAGTTCCAACGACGAAGCCCTAACTGTAAGGTCCTACGTTCCTTATTATTTTCTAGGGCACCGACCTGACGTCGCCTCCACAAAGTTCCATCAATTTTGCAGTGCACTGTGATCATGGTACCACAAAGTCCCGACCTGAGTTCCCGACAGCGAAGTCCCAACTATTTTCCAGTGCATCAGTGGAGCGCAAAGTCCCAACCTCAAGTACCAGAGTCCGAAGGGTCCCAACTAAAAATTCTGCTTCACGCCACGCTGGACCCGGTTTCCAGCACATGCTGCTCCCCACGAATGATCGGAGTCGACATTGTTGTGTGAAAAAAAAAGAAAAAAGAAAAGATCGTCAGATTCGTCACCAAGTACTGGAGTTGCCAGAGTTCGTGTCCAAACGTTGCATCCCTCTGTCCTCAGAGACCATTGCAGAGTCCCAAGGTCCCAGTGGGACATTCCACAGTCTCAAGTTCCAACAGCTTGGAACTTAGATCTGTTCCAAACTGGTGTGGTCCCAACTTAACCGGCTTGGGACTGAAAAGGAATATCTGGTATTTTACCCACATCATGTGTGTGGGTAGGGAGCCGAGCCGAAGGGTCCCGAAGGGGTTGGAAGTTGGAACCCTTCCCTGGCCCCAATCAAAGTCTCCGGGGACCAAAAGGGACCATTCTCGCATTACAACACCAGGAGTCGAAGATCCTGATGTGGAGCCCAACGGTTCCACCAAAGGGTTGGCACTCGGAAACCCTTCCCCGGCCCAATTTAAGCCTCCTGTGAGACCGTCGGCTATTGCAACATCGAGTGCGTGGAGAGCCCAGCCCAAGGGTCTCAGAGGGTTGGAGCTTGGAAATCTTCCCTGCCCCCAATTTAATCATCCGGGAACCAAAAGGGGCCAGCCGGTATAGCAACATCGAGTGTGGAAAGCCCAGCCTAGCCCAAGTGTCCCAAAGGAGCTGGAACCCTTCCCTGGTACCAGTTCCAAGTTATCATGGGTCCAAAAAGGACCACCACACTCAGCATTGCAACACCAACTGTCGAAAGTGCTGATGTGGAGCCCAAGGGTCCCAAAGGTTCCGTAGTTGGAACCCTTCCCAGGCCCAAATTTAAGCCTCTGGGACCAAAAGAACAATTAAGCATTCCGATGCCCCCCCCGAGGGTTCACAGGTCCTGATGTGGGGTCCAAGGGTACGAACAGGTCCGGACTTGGAACCCGACCCTGGGCCCAATTTAAGCCTGAGCCTCCTGGGACCACAAAGGAAGGACCAATACCGTCCTTTCGACATCGTGCTGAAAGCCCTTATAGAGACTCTTAAGGGAAATCTCTACAGGTTGATTGTTCCATAGCACCGATTCAAATTTCCCGGGACTGAAAAGGGCAATCCTGCAACTTACAACGTCACGTGCCAAACGTGCCAAAAGTGCCAAAAGTGCCAATGGGGAGTCCAGGGGTCCCAACAGACCGGAATTCGAATTGGAATTGAAACTGGAATTAAAATTGGAATTGAAATTTGGAACTGAAATTGTTCCAACTGCTCCATGGTCCCAATTTAAGCTTTGTGGGACCAAAAAGGGGTCACGCAATGCTATTAAAAATCAGAGTGCCAGAGTCCCAATGGGAATTCCAGTGGTCCCAAAAGGAAGGTAAAGAGTCGTCACAGAAGGTTCCAATGTTCCAACAGAACCTGAGTCAGTCAGGCAGGACAGACGGACACTCTTATCCCGCCGGAAAAGCTGACGCTCAGGTCCTGACACGACGCCACAAGCTGTGATTACCAACAGTTGCAGAGTGCCAACAGCAAGCTCCAAAAAGTACCAATTGGAACTCCCAGAACCGATTTGGCGTCAAATGACACGCTGACAGAGTCTCATCTCGTGCGCTTCAAAAAAACGAGCTTTGAGAGATGATATTTCTCCCCCTTCTCCCTCCACATAACTGAATCTAGAGGTGCAAAAAAAAAAAAAAAAAAAAAAAAAGAGAGAGAGAGAGAGAGAGAGAGAGTCTAGAGGTGTAGTGAGGAAGTCCGTCCAACACCAAGAGGTAGGGTTGAGTGGGTCCCAGAGGTCCCAGCCGGACCCGTTGAAGCGCCGAGTCGAGGCCCCCAACAGGTGCAGAGTGCCAAGAGCAAACTCCAAGAGGTCCCAGCTGGAGCTCCCGGAACCCAAATTCGGCTTGCGATGACGAGCGGCGAAAATTCGGCCGGAACATACTGAGATTCGAGCCCGTTACAAATAATTTCCTGATTGCTACGCGTACACAGAGATGTTGGGCCTCGCTGCACTACTGGAATATTCAACACGTATCTGGACCGCATTTATCCACCCAATACATTCTGACTGATCGAACCTGCTGAACGTATAGCGACCATTTCCAGCTCCAGATGCATTTAGAATGTGTCGCAGTGGAGCGAGGCCCACCATCAAGTTCCGTTTACAGGTAATTTCCTCTGCTTGGTCTTGCATCCACTTTAGCAGCATATATGATGGGGAAGCATAAAAGGGGAGGGGAGGGGGGTGGGGGGGGTGTGAGAGGGGGGGAAGAATACAGACCTGGGCTTGAATCCAGCGAGAAACGTGAGCCAGTCATCCAACCAACCCTATGGTAGTACACTACCGTAATACCTACCTTCACTATGTTGAGAAGACGGATATCGCTTTGAACGTTAGGATGAGATAAGTACATTCGCATGAACTAAGTACGTTAGGATGACTAAGTACGTTAGAATGGACCCGAGTACGCTAGTACAATGCAAAATGCAGATTGAATTTGCTGACCAAAATGATCGAGCGACCGGAGCCATCAGGTTGTGGGGCGGGGAAACGGTCACCTGCTTTTTACAGCGCCCGGTGTTCCGAGAGATTGCTGCATCCCTTTGGGCCCAGTGGCGGGCCTGTCTGCGGCACCAGTCAGTGCTGGGTCCGTAAACGCAAACGACAGAATGGGCAAAATGGAAATGCCCAGTACAAAGAACAATAAGTTGATGGCTACCACCTTCTGCACAACGCTTCGGTACCACGGCAATGCGGAAAGTGTGAGGCCGACAACGATCACACACAATGGTGCGAAGACCCGTCCGGGAACCCCCGAATACATGCTCAAACAATGAAGCAACACAAACGATCCCTCTATGTAAAGGGCCCAACCAATACAAGGGTGAATTGTATGAGGAACGACCAGGAAGGGGACCGTCAGAGCAAGGGCTAGGCTGACTAACAGAGCCAATCCTCCGAACGACAGCCGAAAGCTTGAGTCGTTCACACCGATCGCCGGAAGCTTAGAGTCTCCAAGCGGTCTGCTAATCAAAGGGCTGAGCTCTGAATCATGCAGTTGTCTGTGGTCTTGATGCATCCTCTCCTGGCCAGGAGAGCCCATCGCACTGCTGGGGAATGTGGGCGACCCCGTCGGACCCGGATTTCCCCCGCCATCACTCACAAGGTTGCTGTTCCTCGAGTCCTGGCCGTCATAGTTTGGACTCCCCAACAAGCCATTGCTCCTCCCAGGAAATATTCTCCTCAGAGAGACTGGTATGATGTCCTGCGCAAATGCGTTGACACCAACGCCAACACCGCCCCACCCACCACCATGCTGTGCATCCCTATTGCAGCAGACACTACCACACGAACTGCAACACGACTTCTTTAGCTGCTCCAGCGTGCTCATCAGAGATCGGCCTAAACCAGAGGAAGCGAACAGAAATAGCGCCATCCATGCCAAAGCCACAAACAAGGCGGACCTATGCTCTTGGTCGTAACCGACAAGCTCCCGGCGCTGCTCGTGCCAGAATAGCCCGACTGGCAGAATTGGCCAGCTCCACCAATACCAGGGCTTGAAAGTCGGCGCACTCGGATAGGTCAGCACCTTGTTCGCTGAGCATGGGACGTTCCATTTGTACGTAAGATAGAAATACCCCGAGTCCATCTGATAGCCCATAGGGAGCCTCCACATGCCCTGGAGGTACTTCCCATCCTCCTGTGGCGGGACGAACAGCGGGCTCTCCAGCAAAGACGGAAAGTAGGAGACCAGAAATCCCTGGTCGGCACCATCAAACGAGTCGAGTTCGTCAAGCTTTTTTACCATGTCACGGAAAACTTCGTGAGACGGCTCGAGAACCATCAGCCCGGTGTGAAATATGCAGGGGTTGATGAAGACCGCGCAGAAATTTCCGCATCGGAACAACTCGTCCATGTTGTCCAGGATAATATTGTCCGCATCGAGCAGAACGATCCGGTTGTATTCTGTAAGGTTCCAAGCGAGAAGCTTGTTCAGTGCATGCATAAAGCGTGGCGAGGACGATTCTTGCCCAGCATAGGGATTCTTGATGCTCGGGAGCTGCACGACCCGGACGCCATCCGCAATGAGAGTTTGTATCCACTCCGCAGGAAAAGTCTCCGTCAGAATTGCAAGCATATCTGCGTCCGTCCCTGTTCTCTTCGCAGTTTGAAGCATCACACGCGCCGCTGCGAAGAACTCGTAATCGTGCTGTGTTCCCTCGTACAGAACAGTGGCATATGCATTGCGACGCCCTCCACTGGCAGCTTTCCCCGCCTTGCTCGCTGCAGAAGATTCTGACGGCACTCGATGCTGCTGCCGAGAAACTGTCCTCATCCCCTTCCAACTTCCCATTTGCGATTCGCCGGCGATACCACCACCACCACGGCGCCGCACTCCCCTCGCGGACGAGTATTGAGCATATCGTCCACCCGCACAGAGAACACTGGACTTCGTCAGTGCCGAGGAAAGAATTGTAGCAATAACTCCAATGGAGAGTACACCCACCCCAACAGCGCAGAGGATACCCGTCTCTCGCACCCTCCCTGATCCTCTCAGCTCCGAGCCCAGCCCCATAACCTCTGTTTGTGTGTGTGCAGTCCTGTCTCTCAAGTCGCGACACCCACCCCAACTGCACCTATCTCCTACCCCCCCCCCCCTGCACACCACACTGCCTCTTGGCAATCTGATGCCCCGTACTTGGACAGTACCTCTTGCCAGGTGCTCTTGTAATGGTGGTGATCGTGTTGTAATCTTATCCACGAATCTTCATCGTCGATGCGAACTGCACTCCGGTGTCTCCATCAAGCATAACACAAAACACCTCTGCGAGACTGGACTGCTCCTGAAACATCAGACAAATGAATGGTCAGCTTCAGCCGGTGGCTCATAACAACCGACACAGATAGTTTGGGGGGGGGTTGGGGGCGGGGTTGGGGGGGGTAAAAAACCACTTCAGCCTGGTGGTCCGCAGGTCACGGTGCCATGCACTCAGCAGTTGAAATGACTTATTACTAAGTTATTAGCCTACTATGCTATAAGCAATGATCATATTAATCATTAGATTAAGGAATCAATTGACACTGGAAAAAGAAAAGCAAAAACTTCAAAAAAAAAAAGGGACTTTGGCAAATTCGCACTGAAAAATGAGTACAAAGTTCTCGCTTAAAAGTGGGAAGTTTGTCGGAGTCTTTGGAACATTTTTTTTGTCCTCCGGAATGCCGTCCTCCTCCTCGACCATAAACATAAGGACATGCGAACTTCAACGTTCAAGCACATGCAAAAAAATTCTGATGATGGAATTTTCAAAACACTTAGAAAACGAACATGCAAAGCGAGAAGGCTTTTTATAGGTAGCCTACTGTTTTCTTCTTTGTCCCCCCCTACGAATACGTAGCCCTCTGACAAACCTCAACGGTTGACTGAGAGCATACTTGCACATTCTCCACTGAGCTCTGGACGTAAATGCGGTCAGATGCATCCAGGACTGGCTGTAAAAGCGGTCAGATACGTGCGGAACTGGGTGTAAAAGCAGTCAGATACGTCCAGGACTGACTGTGAGAAGGGTTCAGATACATCTAGGACTGGCAGTGAAAGCAGTCAGATACATCCAGGAACGCCCTGAGTTTCTCCGAAAGGGCGATGTGCAGCAACAGTCTGTGTCCCTGTCCGCAGTCATTTTTAAGTGCTGTGTTTCTCACCTGCACTGGGCTGTAAAAGCGGTCAGATACGTCCAGGACTGGCTGTGAAAGCAGTCAGATACATCCAGGGAAGTCCTAGTGTGAGTACGGCCTGAGTTTCTCTGAAAGGGCGATTTGCAGCAGCAGTCTGTGTCCCTGTGCTCAGTCATTTTTTCGTGCCGTGTTTCTCACCCGGACTGGGCTGGAAAAGCGGTCAGATACGTCCAGGACTGGCTGTAAAAAAAGCGGGTGTAGGTGAACAAACAGGTTAAGTTGACGGGATAGGGTAGGCTAGCAAACAGGGGTAGTCGAAGGGACAGATCTCAAAATTTTTGCTATATAATAATATATATGGGAGGACTTAGCAGAAATTCTAGGACGGTCCCGGGGTAGAAGTAGAATTTGCCAGGGATCTGGTAAGGATTTTCCAGCAGCTTGGAGAGGCCCGGGAGTCGGGGAGGGTAGCCGGTAGGAAATGATGGTCTACCGGGGCCGCATCGGGTCACGTTTAGGTCTAGGTGCAGAGTATGTAGCAAGAGTTACAGTCTGCAATGATGTTTCCGTCAAAGAGGCACAGGCAACTGGTAGGCCCAAGTGCACGGGCACGGGTGTAGACAGAGAGCACCCACAAATAGAGGGTGTAGAGGTTGAGAGGTGAGTGTATATCCGTCGACGCAACAAATAGTCCACGTCATTAGATCAGTTGACGCAACGAATAGTTGACGTAATTCACCTGGCAGTCATGCTGCTTCTCTGCGAAGAAGTGGCAGACGTACTCTGCTTCAGCAACAAGGTTGAGGGTGATGAAGGAGAGCTCCATGGCTATGGTGGAGACGCTGGAGAAGAGGGTAAGTGGGCCTAGCTATGGAGGGCGTAAACCACCGGAATCTCTCACCTTTATACAAGCAATGCAACACACTTGACATGGGTCGACCCAATAGTAAAACCAATACGAGACACAATAAATCCGTTATATCGTTTTCTTGATTATGCTTTCATCAGCTAGCATTGGGAGGCCTCCCATTTTCTTTGTTTTCACAGTTTTACCTTCTTACTGTGTTTATCATGTACAAGGCTGGCCACATTGATGCTGGTTGAGCGCCAGCTGCCCACATCCCCGTGTGCCTTTACGGCCCCCCACTTGCACGCTATAAAAGGAGGCAGCGTAAAAGGGCAACTAATGTTTTGTCTTGGGAGGCCTCCCATTTTCTTTGTTTTCACAGTTTTACCTTCTTACTGTGCTTATCATGTACAGGGCTGGCCACATTGATGCTGGTTGAGCGCCAGCTGCCCACATCCCCGTGTGCCTTGACGGCCCCCCACTTGCACGCTATAAAAGGAGGCAGCATAAAAGGGCAACTAATGTTTTGTCTGTTCTCTTAATGACTCTCATTCATATGTGTTTACTGGAAGTATACAAGGAGAGGGAGTGCTGTGAGGAACAAGCCCTCAAGGGGCCCTATCAGACATCACATGTTCTGGGCTAAGGCCCCCAGCAAGCCGAGTGAAGGCGGGCCTGAATATTCGTCAGAGGCCGAAATTTGACATTTTCACATGTGGGTATTCAGGATCTTGAAGCACGCCAGTTGGTTGGGTAGACGCGTGAGCCTCACTAAGCTGCGTCATACAGTTGGCCCAGGCCTAGACAGTTGCGCCTGGGCACATACACACAAAGCAGGGCCGATAGATTGGGAAGCAGGCCATCGGCCTTTGGAAAAGCAGTACTGCCGACGCACCTGCCTGGGAGCCCTGCACAGATGCAGTAAACAACCCAAGTCCGGAGACTCAGGCCGTGCCCAACTGAAAAGGGCCCAGGCCCTCAACTGTAGTCTCAGGCCTGGGCGCAGGGTCTGAGGCCCAACCGGAATCTACTGGAAGCTTCCAGCCAGGCCACACACAGCATCCATGAGTCTGCCACTTGAGGCAGCTCAGGCCAGGCATTCTGGCCAGTGCTGCCAATGCGGAAGTGAAGTGCTGCTGCGCTTCTGCTTGATGCTGCGCTGCTGCCCAGGGCGCTGACGGGGCGCTTAGTGGTGAACTGGGGCACTGCAGGGCAGTGGGGCGCAGGCAGCCATAGCCGGACTGCTTGGCGCCAGGGGGTACAGCGGGTGATCCGGTGGTCTTCAGGGAAGGAGGCGGGTGTGGGGAAATCAAGGTCTGATTGAGGGTGACGAGATACCTACCCGGTGTATGAAGAGAGGTCGGCTATGGAGTTGACAGTCATGCACATTGGTCTTTGAGAGTCGAAGTGAGCCTGTTGCGTGAACCAGCTGTAGGTAGGGTAGTCGGGCAGAGTAGGAGAGGGGCGCCTTTGGATACTGTGTCGGTGTGGCCTACGGGCTTGAACATTGGCTCACTACTTCATTGTATTGCTCTATAAGGATGGTTTCTCGGTGCATTTTGTACTCTCTGCTTGGATACGACTACCTGGACATCTGTGTGTACTCATATTCCTTGCAATTCGGTATCGGGGCTGGCTCGTGATCGCCACTTACCTGGCACCGGCGACATTGTTACTTGGCGCGCTGACGATGCTTCATGTACAGTAAGGATACTTTGACGCTGGTTTGATTAAGCAGGGCCCAGGTAGAGGGGCCGGCCGCTGGAAGGCTGTGGCGACAGCGTGGGAGCTGTGGCGACAGCAGATGTATGTATGATGATGAGAGTATGCTGACGTGGCACTGCACTGCGTTGTGGGTGGTACCGAGGCTATTGACCGGTCATCGAAATGCACGTCGGCCCAATTGGTGAGAAATCTGTGGTTGGGGGCAGCTATCTCCAGGTATGTTGTTCCCATTCCTTATCTACCCTCTCAATCTCTTCTTACCGTGAGGAAGTGAGTCCAACTTGAGTGTCCTCTCTTTGGTGAGTCGTCCTGTGCACTCTACCTTGAGAGACGACATTCTTCCCGGTGGCGCATCTGGCAGGAGAGGGCGGTGCCTCTGAAGGGCCCTGGTCGAAGCACGGGTCACGGTCACCATGCCAACCCATGGGTAGTAGTACACGCAGGCCATGCTGCTTTGTCCATTGAGGCGCTTTGCTGCGCTGATGGAAGGGGTGTGCGGACTGACCAGTCCTACGTAGACGCTCCCAGACCGTCTATAAACATTTCTGGTTGGGGTCTGAACTGTCCACTGGCTGTGATCTTCGTCCTGATTGCGACGTTAAAGAATTCCTGAGGACTCTCGGGGGCTGTCCTTAAATTGCCTCTTGATCAGCCAGATAAGTCAGACGTAAGGCTCGTTGCATGCGAGGGTAAACAAAGGGCAGGACTGGTCATAAGCATACTTCTTGAGCACAGGGGTGGGCGGTGGTTGCACACCTTAGACACAGCCGCTTGATGATGCTCAGAGGTACGTCGGATACACGGGAAGGGGATTCCAATTGTGAACTCTACTATGCATCACTATCATATCCATTGTGCATACATCTGCGCTCAGTAGTCTATTTTTATTTTGATTAGTTGGTTGACAGATTGCTGACACCTAACAGACAGCCTAGAGTAGGACTGCAATCTACCATAGTCAGTTCTTCTCAAAGCTTCTGTGCATAACTAGACTACGTGTATGGCCTGTATAGGTGTTGTTGATATCACTTGAATAGTAGCCAAGGTGACTCGCTGGGTAATTATTTATTTATTTTAGCACCAGTCAGACGTATGTTGCGGTAGGTCCCAGAGAGGACTCTAGTGCAGACAGCGTCTGCCTAGCCGATGAGTGGATCAGCCGGGGATGAAGGTACAACTGACGCTAGGAGGTTAACAAGGCTAACATCGCTTAGAATCCCTAGTGTTCCAGGCCCTACAACCGGGAGAAGAGAGAAGACCAAGGGCCGAAGCTAGGGCCCGTAGTCTTGAGGCTGCAAGAGAAGCAGCAGCAGCTAGCGGGTTAGCAATGGCTACCGCTTCAGCAACGTCTGCAGCAACCTCTGGTCAGGGCATGCCGTCCAACTCGACCAGCTCGTAGTCAGTCTCCAATACGTCAGGTGCCGGCGCAAGTCAGACGGCGGGTGTGCAGTCCAGCCTGCCGCCTCTTCTTATAAGGGAGCAGATGGAGCTCCAGCAGGTAGAGAGTATCCGCCTGAGGTTAGAAGAGGGACGCAAACAGG